TTTCTGCCGATTGTCTTGCTGGCCACCTCCCCGTTCCCCTCAGAGCAGGTTGTCTAGAGACACAGAACCGGAGCAGAGGAAAGTGGTGCGTGGTGCCCTGTGCTTCCAGCTACAGGGATTTCTGGCGTTCACTCTTTCTGGATAGCCAAGAGAAATGTAATTTATATTAACCTTTTAGGTATAATTTAGAGGCACTCCTTTGGAGAGCACTTTCTGAGTTTTCTCTCTGGAGACCAGAACTTTTGGAAATTTATTTTTAATCCCTGAATATATTAGACTCTGAGAATTTTTCATTTTCTCCTTAAGACAGATTAAAAGATGTAAAAAATCATTGTAAATTCAAGGATTTCTCATATTTTAATGTACTTCTTAAAATTTGACAATTTGGAAAAAGTTACTGCAGACATATTCTTAGGAATCTGTCTGAATCACCTAGAAGGTATCGTATTATTCTCATTGCTTTGAATTATTGACTTTTAATATAAGTGTAATTTTTCTGGCACTCTAAATCCAATTATGGTGGTCTGGTTGTGATATTTTAATTTTATTTAAGTAAAATCCTGGACCACAATTGTCATTAGTTAAGCAAAATAGAGGTAGGGTTGAATTTCACCTTTCATTATAATGATTGTTATTTAATTTTAGATTTTATTGAACATCGGTCTGTGATGGATGAATAGTGGCAAGATTACAAAACAGAGATGTATTTGCATATTCCCTGGGAGTTCAGTGCATCTGTACGAGGTTGGGGAGTTGGTTGGTTAGCCAGAGCACAGCATCTGTACAGAGCCGGAGCGGCCCACAGCTCTGAACCTGCACTGGTGTCCATGAGTCATTCTGGCCCAGACAGTGTTAGCAGGTAAAAGACAGACTCTCGGAGGAAGTCACCGACCTTTTCTCTAGACTCAAATTGCATGGAGTGTGCTTTGAGTTTCATTAAAAGGCTAACCTTCGTTTTATCTTTTCTCATTTGCCAACTTTTGCTTGTCAGACACCAGAAATGACATGACTGCATTCTGAAAGATCAAGCATTTGGGGGGATATCCCCAGCTCCTGTCAGCAGATAAAGTATTGGCACAATCTGTAGTTCTGAGCTTTCTGGACTTAAACAGCTTCCAAAGATGTGTCTGCGGTCCTTTCACTCTACTTTAGAGCAGTGCTTCTCAACTGGAGATGATTCTGTCACAACCATGGGGGAGGAGAGGAGACACGCTACCGGTATTAAGTTGGGTAGAGGCCAGGGATGCTGCTAACCATCCTACAGAGCACAGAACAGCCTCTCCAAGAAAGAATTGCCTGGCCTTAGAATACCAATAGTGCTGAGATGGAGAAACCCTGCTGTAGAAGTTTGCAGGACCAGCATGCCTCCAGGGAAGCTGGCTGGCTGGCTGCCACAAGGGTGCCCAGAGGTGCCACTTACCTGGAAATCTTCTCACAGGTCAGGCTTAGGCTTGCTGTCAGCCTTGCAACTTTCCAGAGTCCCAGAGCTGATCAGACTCTAGGAGGTTGACTTGCATAGAAACCCACAGGAAACTGACTAATAAACCTAGCCCGCCTTACAAGTTTCCCCGGGCAATAGCACTAGTGGACAGAGTGAGCCAAATGTGTGTGTTGGCTGCATAGCTCATATGTTTGCTGTTGGCAAAGTACCTGGGAACCGAAATCATCAGGAGGTACCTCCAGGAACCCAGAATCAGAACAAGGGGAGATTTGGGGGTTATCTCATGACACCCAGAATTCTGAGGTCTGGACACTTAAAATTTCACTCAAGATGAATCCCATCAGCATTGGAGAGGCTGCATCTTTAAGATAAGACTGTCTTTGAAAGTACTGGGCTAGATCCTGGTAACCGACTTTGATCTTTTGCACTATGCTTCCATTGCTGACCAGCTTCCTTTCATGATCTATACTGATTTTTTTAATCAATTGACTACAGTCTGGCCAGCTTGGGGGAGAGGAATTGGTTCAATAAAAACATGTTGAGCACCATCATGTATCAGGGATAATTAGTATGAAGACTGATATTAGGATGTGGTCCCTAAATGGAGGCTTTCTCAGTCTAGTGGGTGGCATTGAGGTGACAACATTTTAGAAGAATGTGAGCAGGGCAGTGACCAGTCTACTCAGAATTCTGTGCGAGTACAGAGGACACATATCTGGGCTGTCCTGTCATTTGCAGTGTCTGCTTTAATCTCTCAGGTCTCAGGCACTGATTATATCGTTTAAATTTTGGAGGGAGCCTTATTCCTGTGATTCCGAGCCCTGGGAGGAAGGCACAGGGGCCATCCCTCTCCTGTGTGCTGTCTGCTCGTCCATCTGATATTCCCCGTTCTATTGCAAGACTGGATGTCCGGTCTCGGGATGATGAAAGGGTCCGACATGCCATCTTCACTTCACTTTCCCTCCCCCAGTAATGGGGGCGGTCATTTTGTCCATTTTGAGTGACAGAGTCAGCCCATCAGGAAATATAGCCACGCTGGGGGGCGTGCAAAGCTGATGCAGAGCATGTCTCCTTTGATTGTGAAGAGAGGCATTCTGCAGGGACGAGCAGCACTCGCGTGAACCTGATGTGTCTTGCCAGGATCCTGATGAATCACCCAGCAAAGTCAGAAACCTGCTTATGCGCTCAGTCACAAACGATACTCTCTGCTTTGATCGGTGGCACACTGATAGGAATGGCAAGAACACAGAGGAATCGGGTTGTTAAGCAGGACCGGGAGGATGTATTTGATGTGCACGTTTTTATTCCCCAAAGCCTGCTGGTGTGGGGCATGTTCTGCCCACGGCTCTCAGTCCTTCCTTACCCTTCCCCAACAGCTTAACATCATCTTGATTTCCTACACTAATTGAGAGCAGGCAGACCTACCTGCCGTGGAATCCTGACTCTGGCTCTCATTAGGTGTGGGGCTTTGGGCAAATAGCTTCTCTGAGCCTTCCTGTCCCACCTGTGAAATTGGGAATGACAGCATTTACCATTTGCAGTGGTTGAGGACAGAGGTGACATGTGTGAGCCCCCCCTTCCAGAAAAGGTTCCTGGAATGGTGTGGGGACTCAGAAAATGCTAGTTACCATTTTCTGTGGGGAAGGTCGTGCTTAGAATGCAAATGCCCTAAGAAGGGTGTGATTTGGCGTGCATTCACCCTGAGAGGTGTGACTAGTACTACATTTCCCCCTCCTCCTCCAAACTGAAGCTTTTTGGACAGGAATCGTGGTGATGGAAAGTGAGGCAAGGCACAGAATTCTGAGTTTATGGGAAGAGGGTGAGAGAAAGGGACAGGCTGGGATGTAGTTCATTCATCAGACATTGATGGATGGCCCACTAGATACCTGCGTCTATAAAAAATACTTGGCTAGCGTCACAGTCTGTCCGTCCCTGGGCCAGCCCTGTCCTGTGATGAGCTGGTGGCCAGCGGTGCTTGGGGCTTCTTAGATGTGCTCAACAGCCTAAATACTCTGTTGGTTTTTTGTTTCGGTTAATTTTCCCTTCCCTTAAAATGTGCCACACTTGGAAAGAAGTCCTGTAGGGAAAGGAGGACTGTCTGTCTTCAGAGGCACGGCAGCATTTCTTGGTTTCTTTCGAATGCAGATATCTGAGGCTGCTGGGAGGCCCTGCAGTATGGGCAGGAGGAGGAGAAGGAGGAGGGTTATTTTAGCTCCTGAAATGATTTTATTTATCCCTGTTGAGGTTTCTCCACCTCTTCGTCCAAGAACCCTGTCTCAGGAGTTCAGTTTGGGTGGAGCTGCGTTTTTCTCCTGAATCATTCTCTCTTGTCAACTCTGTTAGAGGTGGAGAGTCTTTGAAGGGATTGCCCTGCCCACGGTTTGCTGGGACCAGCTTGGAAACTGCTCTGCTCTGTTTCCTCTCTCTCTCCATTGCCTCCCAGTTGTTGTCAGGACACCTTTCCTTGTGTCATGTGGTCTGGGGCCTGTGGGCTCCTGGGGGTGGGGAGGGGCGGGCTCTGCATGTTGTTTGTAATCCCAGAGCTGGGCATAATGCCCTGTGGACCTCAAGCTGTAATGAATGTTTGCTTAGTGACAGAAATAGCCAGAGGCACTTCTTTGACTCTTCCTGAGGCTCAGAATCAATCTTTTCTTTTTCCTCCCCAAACCCACACCTTTGGACCAGGTATTGATGGGAAAACGTGAAAATCTAGGGCTGAATGCTTAGATACTAATACAATGCTAAGAGAATGTGTCAACATGAGGCAAGGCTTGCCTTGTTGTGAGCTGGATTTTTTTTGCATTCTTTATTTTATTTAGAGAGAGAATTGAAATTTGTCCTTTTATTTGTCTTGATACAAACTTAATTCTCCCTCTATATATACCCCTACATGCACAGACATGCACAGACGCATATACACACACATGCACACACCCATGCATTAACCAGCAGACTCTGATCAGCTCCTATAGTCATTTTCACCTGTGAAATATAACAGTGCACAAATAAAGCAAAATTGAATTTGGCCAGCCTTTGAAACCTATTGATTTTAAATTAGAGCAGCAGTGTTAATTCTATTAGGGCAGTCACACTGAGAATTTGGTCTTGGGAATGGATTAAGATGTATTCATTAGAGATTTCTAAGTATATCCTTGATGGATTAGCTAGGAAAATAATACTCCTGGAAGAAACTGGGGGGGGGGGAATGAGTGAGGGCAGTCATAATTCTTGTGCCTCATTTTATAGTTGGATGTTCTGTTGGCTTTGGAGTCCCTGGAGATGCCCCAAGTGTCCACTACAGTCAAGATCTGAGAGTCCTTAAGCCTGAGAGTGGTTGTGAATCTCAAGTCTCTGTGATGATGGTTCTCCACCCACGTGTCCAGTAGGAGTGATGGCTCCATGGGGGGGAGGAAAGACTGCCTCTTCCCGGAGAGTTAGCAGGGGTCTGAGATACGGGCTAATCAGTCAAGTGCCTTTGTGCAGAATCTGAGATAGAGCATCTTGTTTTGGGTGTGTTTCCTCCATGGAGTTACAACTTGACTGATGGTTTGTTTTGCAGGTGAGAGTGATTTCCCAGCGGCTCCTTTGTGCCACCAGAGAACAAGACTCTTCTCTTCTTTTTGGCCACTAAATGCCTCTGTGCACCACATATTCCAGTGGGGGAAGAAGGGCGGAGCTTCATGGATGACGATGGACATTCCACTAGCCAGGATGAGGGCAGACTGCGAGATATCAACACCACAAGGGTAAGAGGTCCTCTCTGATAGTTTCTCTGGCACCATTACTTGTCAAAGGAAGGGGAGAGCAAACCTTACAGTGTAGTGACAGAAATGAAGATGAGACACCAGGGAGACTATTTTGATTGCGAAGTTACTGGGTAGTTGGGGCAGATGACGAAGGAGGAACATAAAGTATCAACCTGGAAGGATTAGGTTGAAGTTGTGCCTAGGGATGTGGCAGGCCAGCCCAGGGAGATTTAGGGTCGACATGGCCCACCCCTGCTTTTGACATTGATAGTTCAGACTTAAGAGAGTGACACTACTATTTTTTTGACAAGATTCTGTTCGTGTCCACCTGAGTTGGTCTGACTTGCAACGGGTGCTGTAGAGCGGGGGTGGGTGAGTCTGGCTCAGGTCACGTGGTCTGTGGGGAGCTTATCAGTGGTACCTGGCCCAGAGACATGCTTTCACTGAGGCACACAATGTTGAAAACATGGTGCATCCATTCAAATTAAAATTAAGTTATCTCACATAAAGAGCAGGACTTCCGGGCTCTCCTGGAACATGGAAAAAACATCTACACTGGCCCTCCGTTCCCACAAAGAGCTCTGGCCCTGGGTAGCCTCTGCCTCTCAAACAACCACAGGCGGCTCACCATGCAGTCCCCAACCAACCCACTTCATTTGTTTAACTCACTTATGTGGCCACTGGAGGCATTTTGTTTCTCCATGCCTGCTCTGATCATTCTGTTAGCTCTTTGATAAAAACATTATAGCCTTTGTTAACTCTTTCCGATAGAAGGGAAGATCTCCCACTAGACTGTGGGCATCAGTTAGCACCAGGGGCTGGGGCTGTGGAGATGACAATAAGTAATCGCTTCCATGGAAGAGCTTAGAGTTTAATGACAATGATGATCAGATTTGGGGGGGGGGGGAGAGATGTAAAGTGCATTACAGTATCTTGTGGTGGGTAGTAAAATAAAAGTGGACCCGAAGGACTATGGGAGAAGGTGAGTTCGGAAGCTGTGTAGGGGCACTATTACCGTGGTCTGACTGAATTCAGATTCTCCAAACTCCCTCCCCTGGACACCGGAGCATCACCGGTAGCCATTCGTGTGGGCTCTTCCATATGCAGGGGACTTGGTTGGAAACTCGATGGTGTATCTACTGCAGAAGTGAGGCTCCCCTCTCGTGGCAAAGTCCACAGTTTTCCTGTTTCTGGATGAAAATCTTTCATCTGTGATTCTTTGCTTTTCACAAATAGGATTGATTTCTGCTACTTGGTTCATTAAATCATTCAGCTGCCTAAGCAGCCCTCTGCTTGGAGATGAACTGTGTGCATTACCTTCCCTGATGTTGCCAGAGCTGGGGCAGTCTCGCCAATAGAGGTCCAGGGGCAGGAAGGGAAGGTAGAGGTACTGTTACTTCCACCTCCTATTTTTGGAATGAGGATTGATATGTATCTTGTGTTTTTGTTTTCGAAAGACTTTTGCACTTGTCATTTACCATCAAAGTGTGTCTGTCATCTTTTATAAATTGAGAATTGACCCTCTCAAGGCCAGGTAGCTGGGAAATAGCAACTGCAACACAACTTTTCAGATCCCCAGCCTTTTACTCTGTTTTTTAGTTCAGCATAGACAAGGGGACCAAGTGCACTCATTTCGTTTGGTTCAACATGTAGAAGTTGGGCTTTGGTTATGAATGTTCTAAAATAGGGTGACCTGAGGCCCAGTGTTATTGGTGTCATGTCAGCTGTGCCCATGGTGTCAGAACATGTCAGATGGGACAGACCTAGGAGGGCCCTCTCCTTGCTGTCTGTTTGGCCAGTGGGACCCATGGTATAGCCAGGCTTCCTCGCTGAGTGGGGCTGAGCTGTTTGCAAGGTTCCTAGGGGAATGACTCCATGTCGGAGCCTCAGGATGTCCCAGGAACGCTGGTCCCTGGAAACAAAGACTCAAATCCAGAAGGCGCTTTAAAGTTTTGTGTGCTCTGCATTCTGGCTCTGGACATGTGTTTCTAGATGTTGCATAAACAGCTATTTATTTCTTAGAATTGCATTATGTTAGCTGTGGTGAAAATACTCTGATTTGCAAAGACCTGAACCAAGGACCACTAGCCTTTCCATTTCCAAGTTCTCAATCAGGGTGGACTAGATATTCTTGTTGAGAATTTGTCTGCTCTTTCTGGCTCCATTATTCACTTCTGATGCTTTCTCTCTCTCTCTCTCTTTCTCTCTTTATGTGTGACCTGTGCCAGTGCACTGGGGGCTTGCTCTGAGACAAGGTCGTCACTGGGGAAGGAGCCCGGTGGGGTGGCATGCTCTATCTATGAGTGTGGATTGGGTTTAGGTTTTCAATTCTCTTTACATTTTCTTGGTTTTATTTGGAATATTCTCACATAGTATAGACAGCAATAGAATTGAGTATGGCCTACCCTTTATAAAAACAAAAATAATTTAAAAATTAATAGAATGAAATACATCTTTTTAAAAAGAAAGTTCCCAACAGATGGTAGTATTAATGTGGAAAAATGCTCCCTTTTTTTTCTTTGATGGAAGGACTAATGTAGATTTTGGACTAGTGAGAAGAAAGAAGGAATCTAGGTTTTCATTTCCTTTTATGGAATTGACTTTAAAAAGTGGTTCTGCTCAGTTAAAAACTGGTTTGTATTCATCACACTTGTGTTACTTTTCTGAGCAAGGCAAGTGCATGTCAAAGCCACAGATACACACATATGTGTCAGCCTTGAGTAGACATGGTTTTGAGAGTATTTTTCTTGTGAGTTTGAGAGCAAGCAGCAGCGAGAGAGGTACAAGGTGAATGGCTTTGAAAAGCCTTAACAGGTATCAATTGGGGTGAAGTGGGTCAATATAATTTTTTTCAAGATCCCCATGAGTATCTTGGACTTTTGACTTCTTTGTCTTTCTTTTCCATCTTACAAACACCAAGAGGCACAGGGTGTGCAAATACAGTGTATAGTGTTCTCAGAACAAGTGGTTTGGGTAGGGAGTAGCAGGGAGATGGATGCCGTGAGCCTAATCTCTTCTTGAGGAAGAGAATCAAAATAGTGGTTGATTTTTCTGCCTTATGTCCAAATGCCTTCAGTATCCATAGACGTGCCTGATTTGAGGCCTTGTGTGTCCTTGGCGTGCTAGTAACAACAATCTCTTACCAAAGAGTATGGCATTCTTTAATAAAGATGACAGTAAAATATGTGAATTTAAAGATCAGCTAGTCCCTCCTTCCACTTTTTGGAAAAAAAATAAGTGCTCATATTTGAGGCACAGTGAAAGAGTCTGTCCCATAAAAGCTAGATAATGTTGACTAAACTCTGATCCTTAGGTCCCCCTATTTGCAACATTGGGGTATAAGACCTTAGGATGGCTGGGAGAATTATAGGGCATGATTCACTCATTCAGTGATAACTATCAGTGTCTGGAAGCTGCACAAATTCTGGGAAAGAAAGGATGAACAGTCGTGTATGTTAAAACACTTGCCATAGCGCATGGCCCGAAAAGGTGTTTAGCAAATTCTCCTGAAACCAATTCTGATGGGGAATTCTAACATGAGCAAGCATAGAGACACTAGTACGTTAAACTTTTCTGTACCCAACACTCAGCTGCAACAGTTACTCGTTCATCTTATATGATTAGTGCCCCCCCTCCCTGTGGCTCTCCATAGATTACTTAGATGTAACTGTCAAACACAGCATAATTTTATCCATAGTATTTTAGCATATACTTCTAAAAGCTAACAATTTTTTGAAGAGCATAATTGTTATGTTATTAGCACGTTGAAAAAGTAACAATAATTCTTTTATGTTTCACGTGTTTAGTTGGTGTGGAACTGTCATGGATTTTCACGTTTTATTTTAAGTATCTGACCAGCACTGGGTCCATATAAAGCCCACACGCTGAACCTACTTGATATGTCACTTATTTGATCCTCATCACTTGTCTCGTATGGTTTCCCAGAGTCTGGATTTTGCTGATTGCATCCTCTAGTGTCATTGAACCGGTTTTTGTGAAATCTCTCTTTGATTTCAACGGGAGGATCTAGAGGCTGCATCAAGTTCAGGCATTTCTTTTGGCAGGGGGTGGGGCGGGTTGGAAAACTGCAGAATTGTGTGTATATTTCCATCAGCAGCTACATTATGTCTTGTGGTCTCTTTTTTGCTATATCCGGCTTGATCAGTGGGTTCAGGTACTCTGTTATTCTGATCTACCTGGAATGAAATTCCTCATTAGCTTTTTATCCTTGTTTTAGAGGGCATGGGGAACAAATAATAAAAGGAATGTTTGCATTCACGAGGCACTGTGGGCTTGTAAAGGAACCTCTCTGCGGTGTATAAAGGTGGGGGAGTTCCTTCTTCCGTGCCCTCGTCACCTGCTGTGGGACAGACACAGCCAAGAAAACCAACCCTGTGCTTTGGCCAATTCGGACAAGCTCAGCTTGTCCACTGAGCGAAAGCTTTTGATCTGATCCAGAGATGCATTCCTCTTCTCTGTTAGGAAAGCCCCATAAAAAGAAGGCTTTGGTTCTAGGATGTGTGCTGCTTTTATGATTAGACTTTGTGGAATGAAGGGCCCTCCTAATGGGCTTTTCACTGGCATGGAGTGAATGACAAGCAAGGAGGAGAGGCTGGAGGACTGATATTATGGGTGATAACCGTGTTCTGTAGAGAAGTGACTGCAGGATGATTGGGACATGGATCGTGTGCCCAAGGATTGTGAGACCCGCTCAGGCAGACAGTGTGGTGCAGGCAGACACTGGCTCTCTGTCATGGAGGCTTTTTGGGACAGCCGGGGAAATGAAAAGTAATCCACCAGGAGATAGCTTCCATTAAAGTCTTAATGCTAGCTTAGCTGAAACCAGCTCCTTGGCACACTTCACTCCCGCGCTTGCCACGAACAGAAGCTTGCTTTCAGGGAGCGGAAGTTCCATGAATATTTGACCGAGCCCTGAGCTCCGATTTAGGTTCTTCAAAGAAGACATCTAAGTAAAAATAGAAAGCAGAGGCAGAAAGAAGTCATGTCTCTTCGAAGAGGTCAGCAAATCTGTTAAATGGTGCTTCAGGCCACGCTATGGTCTCTGGTTTCATGGGGGCACATTCAGGGTTGGCATCCTGAGAGAAAATGCCTGTGTCTTCTCTGTGACCATGCGCTGCCCGCTGCCGTGGGTGGCAGAAGGCTGGGGCCTCTGCTGTGTCCTTTTCAGAGGGGGAACCGCTTGCCGCTTGTGTTCGTGACAGCCTTGGTGTTCTGGAAATATAAGGGGCAAGAATTCCTTTTCCACACCGTTTCCTCCTCTGGTGGAGGCACCAACTGCCCACTTACACAGAGTAGAAAACACACCCTCTTTTAGCTTTCCAGCTCCTTTGTCCCCCCTTGCCAGTCGACCACCAAGGACTGTCAATTCTATAAACTTTGTAAATGTCCCTTTCATTTGTCACTTCCTCTTTCTACACACCATCGCTGAGTTTGAGTCCTTCACCTCCTCTTACCTGTGCCGTTGCATCCTGTCTCACTGGCCCCGGCCCGTGCCCCCAGCAGTCTTCCACCCTGCTGACCCTGGGGTCTTTTTGAGTCGCAGTCACAAATACAACCATGTCCACCCACTGGTTACGATTGTTCAGTGGTCTTGCCTCCAGATTCTTTAGATGGCTGTACAGCAGGTCCCTGAATAATATCATTTTGTTCAATGTTATTTTGTTACAGCTTTGACGAGATGCCAGGGGACTGTAACCCTTGTTTATATCAATTAGCCTATGGTAACACTGGTTTTGTCATATGTTAATGTTATGGAACCTATAGACATTAATAGAACCTGTAGACAGAACGCTTAGGGCTTATTTGTGACCAGGCTTTTGCACGTACTTTGGTGCCTGCGGTTGGGAATTCCCTTTTCCCTTGCTGGTCAGCTCACATGACAATCTCCTACCTTTGGTTTATCCGAACCATCTGTTTTGAGGACGCATCGCTGTGCTGAATGGTGGTCAAACTCTATTACTTTCTCTCTGAGAAGTGGGTCTGGTACAGTCCATCTTGTTAGTGTCAGGACTGAAGAGAGGCTCGATGTGCCGGGCCAGCATAGACTGGGGTGGCGTCGATTGGGAGGGTGTGGGGGACTGTCTGTGAGAGGAGGGAGGAGGTGGGAGAGGAGGTGTTCGTGTCGGGAAACTGATAGTGCAATTGACTTAAAAAGGTAACCCTGGTTTCCCTGGTTCCTTCCACTGTGGGTGTGTCTGAAACACCATCCCCTGCCGTGTAAAGATATCTTTGAGATAGAGGGCGCTGAAGGCCAGGTAGTTAATTGTATCCCTTGATTGTCCACATTCAAACATAGGGGCCAGGGCTTTCTCTTACAGGAGTGAAACGTAGGAACATAAGGGAAAGCGTGAATCTTTTGGGAAGAGCTGAGGTGAGACCCCGGTGGTGTGTGGGTTGGGGGCAGGGTGCAGAGCAGAGGGGAGAGATTTCTTTTTGAGGGGTGCACAACTGAGCCCCGGGAACCATGAGAGATTGGGTACGAGCCAGGCAGCACTAGCCTGTCACATCTGTGCTGAGTACATTCAAACACCCGCTCCCCCTGGTTGAGACTGGAGATGCCTATATTGTGTAAGTGATCCAAAATGCCTCACTTTTGACAGGAGGCGGGGGGGAGTAAATTTTGAATGCTTAATAGATAAAGAAATAAAAATTGGTATTCATTAAAATGATATGGCTGTGTCTTCTTTTTCCTGCAATATGGATTGTGAACCCCAGTCTTTGAAAAAAAATGTTTTGTGTTGATGTTTTCTTAGTCAAAATGTGTAAGTGCAGTATCCCCTTTTATTTCATTTCCTGCTTTTACTTTGAATGTAGCCCATCATCCTGGAAAGGGCAGCTGAAAACTAAGCCTGGCCAGGCACTGTGGATCAGTGCTAACGCCGTCTTCTGCTCCTTCCAGGTGCAGCGTGAACCTCCTCGTCTTCCTTCCCAGCCAGCTCTCTGCCTCCTGTGTCCACCATGGTGTTTGGTGAGTTTTTCCATCGCCCTGGACAAGACGAGGAACTTGTCAACTTGAACGTGGGGGGCTTTAAGCAGTCTGTCGGCCAAAGCACCCTCCTGCGGTTTCCGCACACCAGACTCGGAAAGCTGCTCACCTGCCACTCGGAGGAGGCCATTCTGGAGCTGTGTGATGACTACAGTGTGGCCGACAAAGAGTACTATTTCGATCGGAACCCCTCCCTGTTCAGATACGTTTTGAATTTCTACTACACGGGGAAGCTGCATGTCATGGAGGAGCTGTGCGTGTTCTCGTTCTGCCAGGAGATTGAGTACTGGGGGATCAACGAGCTCTTCCTCGACTCCTGCTGCAGCAGTCGCTACCAGGAACGCAAGGATGAGAACCACGAGAAGGACTGGGACCAGAAAAGCAACGATGTGAGTACCGACTCCTCCTTCGAAGAGTCCTCTCTGTTCGAGAAGGAGCTGGAGAAGTTTGACAAGCTGCGCTTCGGTCAGCTCCGGAAGAAGATCTGGATTCGAATGGAAAACCCGGCCTACTGCCTGTCCGCCAAGCTCATCGCCATCTCTTCCTTGAGCGTGGTGCTGGCCTCCATTGTGGCCATGTGTGTGCACAGCATGTCGGAGTTCCAGAACAAGGACGGGGAGGTGGATGACCCAGTGCTGGAGGGGGTGGAGATCGTCTGCATCGCCTGGTTCACTGGTGAGCTTGCCATCCGGCTGGTGGCCGCTCCCTGTCAAAAGAAATTCTGGAAAAACCCTCTGAACATAATCGACTTCGTCTCCATTATTCCCTTCTATGCCACATTGGCTGTAGACACCAAGGAGGATGAGAGTGAGGACATTGAGAACATGGGCAAGGTGGTCCAGATCCTCCGGCTGATGAGGATTTTCCGGATTCTCAAGCTGGCCCGGCACTCAGTTGGACTTCGGTCCCTAGGTGCCACACTGAGGCACAGCTACCATGAGGTGGGGCTGCTGCTTCTCTTCCTGTCAGTGGGCATTTCCATCTTCTCTGTGCTCATCTACTCAGTGGAGAAAGATGACCACACGTCCAGCCTCACCAGCATCCCCATCTGCTGGTGGTGGGCCACCATCAGCATGACGACTGTGGGCTATGGAGACACCCACCCAGTCACCTTGGCCGGGAAGCTTATCGCCAGCACATGCATCATCTGTGGCATCTTGGTGGTGGCCCTTCCCATCACCATTATCTTCAACAAGTTCTCCAAGTACTACCAGAAGCAGAAGGACATCGATGTGGACCAGTGCAGCGAGGAGCCCCCAGAGAAGTGTCATGAGCTACCTTACTTTAACATTAGGGATATCTATGCACAGCGGATGCACGCCTTCATTACCAGCCTATCTTCTGTGGGAATTGTGATGGGCGATCCGGACTCCACGGACGCTTCCAGCATCGAAGACAACGAGGACGTTTATGACACGGCCTCCTTGGAGAATTGCACAGCCAAGTGAGCCGGGGCGTTCGTGCCCACATCTTGTGTCCCTCCCCGATGATAGGTTGACACAGCTTTATAAACCTCCAGGGGTTCGTTAAAATCATTTAATTCTCAGGGTGTACCTTTCAGCCATAGTTGGACATTCATTGCTCTGAAATGATAGAATCCTCTTTATTTTTCTCAGTGAAGTGAACTAAATGCCTTGTTCTGAAATTTATTTTTACAAGAAGGAGTTGTGATAATGATTTTGGAAAAAAAAAAAAAGAGAAATGGTATTGGGTGGGACGAGCCGCTGCGGTTTCTGTATCATTCCGTGTTTGTCATTTACTCACACCGACCTGTCAGTTGCTGACAAGTAGAATCAAAGGCCCAGCTGACCGAAGGCTACATGCATGTAAGATCCACAACATGAGACAGTGCATGTAAATCCATGTTCATGTTCTAGACATGGAAAATAGGAGCCTAATAAACTGCCTAATTCAGTACGGAGAATGTCTTGGTGGTATGATTTTTTGTTGAGTGAGTACATTTCAGTCTGTTCAAAACTGGCTTGGGAGGAAAATGCCCTTTTTGGAGCATCCAGAGTCCCTTCTGTATGTTTTTGAGTTTTGGATACACAATGGGCTAGTTTTTTGGTTCAAGGGGCTTGGTGGTTGTTAGAAGATAGTGTCCATCATAAAACACACTGTCAGGTGTAAACTAATGAAACACATGTATGTGGAGGACATAGTCAAATTGACATGTATGAATGAAACACGGGCCCCTACAGATATGATTCCAGTATGTATTTTGCATTTTATAATTTCTACTGCTAAGATAAAATTTGGTCACCTGAAAATTATCCCTGCCGCTCCCAGGCAGAGATACACATTGCCTCAATGGAAGAAAGGAGAAGTGTACAAACACACAAATGTGATTCATTATGGCCACAGCCATGGAATTTAAGTCATTGAAAAAAGCTGCCCCAGCACCTATAAAGATGCGCCCTCATTTTAAAAGTAGTCTTAGAGATGGTTATGTCTGCACCTTGTGTGGAAACTCCTCATGACAAAAGAAGACAAACGTACTAATTTCCAGAGCAGTGACAGCAATTCCATCCCATGCGGAGAGAATTGAGCTAAAGCCTTCATTTCGGAGATGTACGGTGACTCTAATTCATGCTCTCAGACAGAGTTCTTTCCCTGAGAGCACTTGAATGGAAGAGCCACGTGGATTTTTATCCAACTTTCTGTGTTTGCTGGTGCATTTCACTGAAAGGCCATTGTCTGTAGGTTGTCTGAACTCTGACTCATCACTCCTCTTAATGTTTCCTTGACTTCTGAGATGGATATAAGGAAACAGGGTTTATGGTCACTTTTAAATCTGGAGGCTTATTACATGCATGGATGTCATCCTTTTGCCCATTTAAGAAAAACCTTCCTTTTTCCCCAAGTGCCTTTAATGTTGGCAGAAATACAGTTTTGAAGCATAGCAGAATGTGGGGTCTGTTGTTGTTAAAGATTTGCCGGTTAGTAGTGCAGTAACTGAAGACTGCTTGTGTATTATAGTAACAGTAATAGTAATCGTAACAGTAATGCTAATAAAGTAACAGTAAAGTAGTGGTAACAGCAGTAGGAATAATAATAAACTACTATGTAAGTGTTTTACCTATGTCATCTCATTTATTCCTTACAATATTCCTAGCATCAGGGTTAGTTACTCTCTCCACTTTAAGACAAGCAAACAGGGTCACAGGAAAAAGGCTTGCTGACGTTCACACACTGAGTAAAGGGCTTGGGCTGGGAGCTTGGTGCCAGATTCCAGGGCCATGCCTCCCACTCTGCTATGTTCAGGAGTGAATTCGAGGACACATGAGGTCAGGGATCATCTGAAGAGACAAAGAGCGACAGACTCTGTCAGACTTTGATTTTCTAGGATGTGAGTGGAAAGGGGAAATGCTGGCTTGTGTACCTTTCCTCTCCTGACGCACGAGGCAGACTCATTTGTTTAGAGAGAAGTGCTTTCTAGGGTGCCCTTGAAACTGGAGCAGCCTCCGAGGTCCTTCCCTGAGCCAGGGTGCAGATGCAGTGGCAGAGCTGTGCTTCTGTAAGAACTCAGAAATCTCTCAGCTGGTGGGTTCTGAAGGTGCCAAGCCTAGAACCCTGTGCTGTGAGCTCTTATGGTCAGAGCCGCATAATTGTGTTTCTGCCTGTATCACGTATGAATTCCTGGAGGCAGCTTGGGAGACCACTCACCAGTCTGTGGAGCAGTGACTTCCTTCAGGACTTGGCCGACTTGGGGAGGTAAGAAGTTCCTCCCCAGAACCTTCTTACCTCAGTCCCTAGCATGATCTGCCATCAGAATCTTGGCCATGCCATTAGGCATCTGGTGACAAAAAGCTGCAGTGTCTTCTTGGGTTATGCCTGTCTTGGCTTCCCTGAGATGCATTCCCTTGCATGGGTGAGATGCATCACCCATTCCCTTCCCACTCTGTGGGATGGTGGGCTCCTGCCTACAAGCATTGGTTTCCCAGGGCTGTCGTGACAAGTTACCACGAATAGGTTAGCTTAAAACAACAGAAACATATCTCCTCACAGGTCTGGAGAACAGAAGTTTTTAACTGAGTCTCAGGCTAAAAATAAGATGGTTCAGGGCCAGTTTCTTTTACTGGCCAGTGGGGTGGGGGAGGGGAAATCCATTTTCAGCTTCTGACAGCTGCCTGCATTGCTTAGCTTGTGGATACATCATTCCAATGTGCCTTCTCTTCTGCGTCACGATTCTCTCTTCCTCATCCTTATAAAAGTATGTGATTACATTTAGGAGCCACTTAGATAATCCAGGGTGATATCCTCATGTCAGGATCCCCAATTTAATTACCTCTGCAGAGTCTCTTTTGTCATATGAGATAACATTTACAGGTTCCAGGGATTAGGAACTTGGTATCTATCTTCAGGGGCTGGTGTTCAGCCTACTACACCAAAGTTACACAGCGATGAAGAAACCTCCATTTTAATGGTGTGCTAATATAAATGCATCTTACTGTGAGATTGTACTACATTAATAAAGTCAAACTCAATTCGACTGTCAAGACATTGACAGGTGTCAGCAGGAAGGTAACCGATGAAATACCATTGTGTGAAAAGTCACCAATGCTAATTTAAAATTAAAACATATAAATCTAGACTAGAAGAATCGTGTTTAATGTTGAAGCAAATTTTAAGTGTATTATAAACTTGTTTTTGGGAAAACAAAACATCCCTGAGATGCAATAGATTTGAAGGTGGTGGACGAAAGCAGTGCACGTAGAATCAGGAAACCTTTTGTTTACATTGCAGATCTGTTGTTTCTCTCTGATTAAACTTGCAGAAGCCACTTCACCTCCTTAAGCCCCAGTGTCTTGATGTTCGAGAAGGAGGAAACATCAAGGTCATGGTGATGAGGTTGTAAAAACGCTTCGAGTATGTTCTGCCAACACTTGATAGAAGCTGTAATGAGGCCCTCTTTTCTTGATAAGGAAGGCAAATAAGAGAAGTAACTGTATGTGTGTCTAAAGTAAACTTTATTGCGTTATTTAGGAAGAGAATCAATGAACAGAACATTTGGTTCCTGCAACACTGTGTAGCTTTATTTGAGCTCAGCCTTCCATCCAAATGAATCCTGCCAGCCTCCAACATGAGTATACATTTCATGGAAAAGTTCCACGGTGCTGAAGGCCAGATGTATGAAGCATGCACCAAGCTCTTTCTTCAGTGGCAATTATCTAATGAAATTGCGCCGAGTCTGCAAGCAGGCGGACCGGATTTATTCCCATTGGAGCAGGGAGCACGTGCCATGGTATTTATAAACTGCAGAGGATGTTTGTCAGCGTGCACAGTACATGCATTCATCCCCGAGTGCTGGCAAGAAATAGCCTCATTGTTTCTGAAGAGCTAATGATGGATTCAAAAATTCTGTTAGCAAATCTGTGGCTGCAAGGGATCCTCTCCCTGGATGATGATGACTTCAGCCTGAGCAGTTCTCATTGTGGACTGAATAGAGGAGTGGAAGCCCTTGGATCAGACTCTGGGCCAATCCTTCCCTGGGCCAACTCCAGCAGAGTCCAGAAGCAAGGGAAGAGTCCTGGGGTACTGTCCCTGGTGTCACGGAGAAGATGACTCGTGGAAAGTCACACACTCCCAGTTCTCGTCTTCATCTCTCCCACTGCCTAGCAAGAGAAAACTTTCAGAGCCATCTCAGACACACCTTACCCCACCTGCTGGGGGTCTGCATAGGCCCTTCCCAGCTCTCAGAGAGCTTGGTTGGCTTTGTTGGGGATGGGGGTGACGTAGGGTCATGTTTGCTATGCTCTTAGCCTCTAAACCAGCCTGACAGCCCAGCCAGCCCATGGAAGTGAGCTGGAAGCCTGGAGCAATAGACCCTCCTCACTGGTCTCTTCCAGCTTCTGATGGATCTGGGTGTGATCTGGCTCATGACTCTCAGCTTTCACTTTTGTTCACCACCTGCCCTTGGGTCTTGGCAAATGATTTCTCTGGTCCTCATTCCAGTTTGCCCTCATACCTTCACTCTATGTGTCTCCTCATTTTGGAGCATTTTCAATGGGAGCCTACCGCAGCCAGGTGGTGTTCAGCCCAACGTGTGGACAGCTCTTCAGGGGAGACCTGGACATTTCAGGCTGTTGAAATCTGTGGCCGATGTAGGCCTGATCAGACATCACTCAAGATTTTTTAGCAAGACTTATTAAGTAACACTGGGAGCCTGGAGTCAAACCTAAGCTATTGAGCGATTTATCATTGGATTTTAGAATGACCACCTTCCCTTACCTATTTCTGATACTTCGGGTATAATTGCCCCCTTTTCTACCCAGCTAATCCCAGTAGCTGTCGGTGGTTTTCTCTAAGGGCCTTCGTAGAGTTTGATGGTTGTTTGTGGCTGCTTCCCAGGTGATCGGAAAGGACCCTAGGGCTTTATTCTGGGTGATTGCCCAAGAAGACTCAACTTATTTATTATGATTTTGCTGATGTCCAATTTCACTTGTTTGATACAAACCTACTAAAGGCTCTGCTTTAATGAATATCTGTATTGTATGTAGATATATAGTCTGATATACTGGGGAAAAGGACACAGCTCCTGCTCCTGTGAAGCCCATGGTAGAAGGGACATCAGGGGCTATGGGGCCGAAGAGCCCAGGCCTGGGAGGGCGGAGGGTGGTTCAGGGTCCAGCTTCACTACTTACTTCTCTGTGATCAGAGACAGGTCCCTTAAGTCTCTGAAACCTCTGTTTTTTCAATGATTAAAGAGGGGCTAATACAGCCCATTTCCCAAGGTTGAGATAATATACATTTATGGACACATAATAGGTGCTCAATAAACATTACCTTCCTCCTCTGTTTGTTAACCAACATTGTACCCTTGGCTAAGCTTTCATGACATAAGATGAACTGAAGGCCTGACATCTCTTTGGTGAATCTGCTTAATGTGGCCAGTAAACCAGACGATTCAAACATACCGTCTCCTGGGCGTCCTGTGCCCAATAAACACACATGGGTTCAGCTGCGTGATTTTGGCTGCTAGTGCTGCTCTCAGGTTACAAACAGCCTCCTTTACTCTTGACTGATTGCAGGCACAGAACTTTTCTTCTTCCTCTGATGATCATATGCATCGTGAAGCAAGAGACTCCTGCCTGTAACTTGGGAGCTTCCTTGAGCAGCTGCAGACTTGCTGACACTTGTAAATCCAATATTGCCTCATCAAACAATGAGGGATTCTAAAAACAACGTGGGCCCAAAATAACTGCCTCATGAGCATGGTATTTGAGTGTGGACAATCATCATCATAGTTCATAAAAGTTTTAGCAAGGGTTTCTATCTCTCCATGAGCACCGCACTTATCTATGATGGGGCCATATGGGTTTTCCTGGGATAAGGGTCCTGCATTCCTGATGGTTAAATATTTCAGTCCATCTCAGAAATTCACCTGCAATCAGCAGATGTAATAAACCTGGAGTTTTCAGTGTAGTTTTGATGCCACGGAAATGTGCTGCTGTATTTGGAGTGACAGTAGTACAATCACAGCATCATACGTGTGTGTGCTCAGCATCAGTTTTCATGCTTTGTGTAAATGTACTTGTTTTGTTCTTAGAACGACTCATGCAGTGAGCAACTGCTATTATTCTCACTTTACCATCAACAAAACGAAAGGGCAGAGGGGTTGTAACACTTTCCCAAACTCACAGCTAGTAATTAGAGAGTGCCTGGTTTGACCTCAGAATTCATGCTTTCAACTACTGTAAATATACTGATATATATACTGGTTTAATGGTTATTTAGACATTTAATTTAAAAGATGTTGAGTATCTCAAGAGGTTGAGTTTTTAACCCTCATAATATGGCTTCCAAATTTGAATGCTGAGAATTATTAGTTGCTCTTTATTTCTTGCCACTGGCATTATTGTTGAATTCCTGCTATGTGACAGGGACTTTCTTGGGTCTTCGGGAGAAGATCGGAGGACTGATAGACAGGATCCTGTCAAGAGCTGTGAAGGGTCTGAAGGTTTACTCTGCTTGCGTGGTGATGAGTTAGTTTGCTGTAGATTCCTGGATGGTGGCAGAAGACATGCAATTTCTGGG